TGATAGCTAAATCTTTGTGCATAACCATGATTAGTTCCTTAATAAATCCCTAGATGTAGAATTATGTCATAAAATATGCCTGTTTGAGTGCTTTTTGATTCATGAAATTAAATTGTTATTAAAACATTGTAGCAGTTTACCCTCATATAAGACCACACGATAATCCTCATTTCCTTGCATCCTCACCTTTCCAGGGTCATGTTATGTGTGTGTGTGGGTGTGTGTGTGTGTATTGTGCATGCACATGTTTTTATATATATACATATAGTCATACACTACATAATGATGTTTCAATGATGGACTGCATGTACAATGGTGGTCCCATGAGATTATACTACCATATTTTTACTGTACATTTTCTATCTTTAGATATGTTTAGATACACAAATACTTACCATTGTGTTGCAATTGTTGACAGTATCAGTACAATAACATGCTGTACAGATTTACAGCCCAGGAGCAATAGGCTATACCATACAGTCTAGGTGTGTAGTAGGCTATTCCACCTAGGTTTGTATAAATATGATGTCCTCACAAGGACAAAATTGCTTAACAAACACATTTCTTGGAATGTATCCCTGTGATTAAGTGATACATGACTGTATATACATATATGTACATTTGATTGTATTTATTCAATTATCAATTAAAAAATAAATCTTTCACTTTAGACCAGAAAACATATATATGTATATATATGTATAATTATATGTTTTAAAAATAAATCTTTCACTTAGACCAGAAAACATTGAGATGTATATATATGTATGCATTACACATATTTAAAGATAAATCTTTCAATTTCAACCCAAATATAAATATAAAATATAATATTTATATACATACACAACATATATATAAATGGGTGTATATAGATATATACACACACATGCATCTAAAATGAAAGATTTTTTAATAAATTGAATACAAATGGTATACAGTATAAATACTGCAATTAATATAAACATCATATTCCAAGGTACTATATTTTCAAAATATTTTGATAGATAAATGTATTATTTCATTACTTTTAAGATTTCTTTGGCTGGGTGTGGTGGCTTATGCTTGTAAAGCACTTTGGGAGGCCACACATAGGAGGATCGCTTGAGCCCAGGGGTTTCAGACCAGCTGGGTAACAGTGAGATTCCATTTCTACAAAAAATGCAAAAATCAGCTGTACATAATGGTACACACCTGTAATCCCAGCTACTCAAGAGGCTGAGGTGGGAGGATCACTTGATCTTGTGGAGGTCAAAGCTGCAGTGAGCTATGATCACACCACTGCACTCTAGCCTGGGTGTCACAGTAGGACTCTTTCTTAAAAAAATTCTTTGATTATAATGAAATTGGATATATTTGTGCATTTATTTTCTGGTTGTATTCCTTTTTTTCTGATTTGCCTGAAAGTGGATATCCTATCCACTTTCCTATTGCTTAGTTTACCTTTTGCTTACTGATTTATTAGATTTATATATTTATTTTAAATGTATTAAGAGTTTGTTGCATATATTGAAACCTTTTTTCCCCTCTGGCTTTACATTTGCCTTTCAAATTTGTTTATGAGGCATTCCTCATTTGAAGAATAAAACAGAGAACCAAATTTGTTGGCCTGAAGATTGAGCTGAAAAGGGAGAGCCACAAATAGTAATTTGTTTTTGAGCATTGTATAGATACTCACATAACCTGATACTAAACAAAAAGTAAAAGCTCATGGACTGTCAGTGGTATGGTGGGGTATGCCGGAGTGAAGTGATTTGTGAACTCCCTGGAGAGAGACTTCTACTAGAGGTACGAACTAAATAGATAGTGCAGAAAATATCCAGAGAAAGATACACGAGAGAAGAGAAAGGTAGGGATATCTGTGCAAAAGGAAATAAGGTATGTTTCCTCTGGTGAAAGTGGAGGGTCTTTATTAACATGTGAATTGTCAATTTCTAATTGCATGAGTTGATCTTGTAGCTCCAGAGGCCAGCAAATACTTATTTGGTCTATGAGCTCAGAAAACCAGAAGATCCCCAGAGAATCTCATTGTAAGCATCAAAAAAATAATATGGCATCACCCAGAACTTGGGAAAATATCCCTTTAAAATCCAATGATTGTAAGGCTGTGAAATATTCACAAGATAGAAATTTGGAAGTGGGGAAGGGAGGTGGTATTTTTAGGTTCATAACAAACTTTGGAATAAACGTTTTCCTAATTAAGCTTATTAGTAAAACTATAGGGAAAGAATGCCCGGTCTGTTTTTCAGATGTCTCCACATTGCTGGGAGAACAAATTGCTGATCCAACAGTGTTCCAGGAAATTAATTACTCAGGAAAGTCATGAAAGAATTGACTGACATAAACATTATGTTCTTGTAAACTGTGTTAGCAACTACCAGTTGTGCTAATCAGTCTTCTTGTAATTGTCTCATAAGTTGGCATGAAACACAGAAGCCCTCAAAAAATACCTGAAAGGAAATGAAACAGAAGGAAAACGAGAGTATCTCAGCCCTGCCTTACTCATATTTAAAGCACTGTAGAATTCTTGGACTCATAAATGATGCTGAGTTTAGCTTGAAAAACTCAAGAGTAGGTTCCCTTTCCATCCTTAACTCCTCTATTCTTTGACATGAAAACTTATTCCACTTGACAGTATAATTGTCCTTGTTCTGTGGACAGTCACCTTAATCTGGCCTATAATGTGTTGATTATCTTGTTAGTAATTAATGACCTTTCTAGTTCTACTTTTCTCTAAGCTGCTCTGCTTCGATAATGCTGGGACATTAATATCCTGAAACAATTCTCCTCCAATGTTCCCAGACCTCATGAAATGTGGTAGGAAATTCACCTCCTCTCATGTATCTTGTCTACACATTGGTTTTCTGCTTCCTTAATCTCTTTATAGCAGGATGTCTTGCTGTTAAACAGCCAACTATTTATAAATCTCTACAGAAACGTTCTAGACTTGCTTTTCTATTCGAGTGAACTTCTAGGGCTGCCTTTAAAAATTCAGAACCCTGAGTATTTTACAAGTAGTCATATTTTCATTCTGAAAGGGCACAGTTAAAAAGATTTTAAAAGTGAAAATTTGAATCAAAGACTTACATTTCAACTATTTTTTTCCTAAAAAGGGAAAGATTTTTTTATAAGAGGAAATGAAGTAGAGAAAGTTACCAATGAGAACTGTGCTGCATAATGTTAAAACACAGTTGCTGCTACTAAGATGCCAAAATATATAACAGGAGGTAGAAGAGACCAAGAGGTCATTTTAAAACATGTCCTTGTTTCATAGAAAGGTGACATGACATTCTGATTTACATAGTTAATGCTAGAGTCAGGCCAACTCTTTATATTCCTGAACTAGATCTCCTTCATTACACAAATATCATTCCAACAAGTAAAGCCCAAGTCAACAACTTATTAAAAAATTCAAAGAAGAGGAGGCATCTGAAGTGGACATTGAGAGAAGCATAGGACTTTCTCGGGTTGCAGAATGATTTCTGCAACAAGATCAATAAGATATACTTTGCTGTAGATAAACCCCGAGGGAGCACTGGAGGAGGCAGACAGAGGGCAGAAGACAGGATTTGAGGAATGAGAAGCCACACTGGAATGAAGACAATAATTGAAGATAGGTTTTTCGAGAAGTTTGGAGGCTAAAGGAATGGGAGGGATTGGCAGCTTAAAAGGGTACTGAGATGAAAGGAAGGTTTATTGTTCATTTGTGTCAAATGTAGGAGACTAACTATATTGGCAGTGTGCAAAGGACTAAAGGAGATTGAAGATTTACAAGTGAGGGAATAATTTATGAAATAAGTTCCCAGAGGAGGCAGGGAGGTGAGATAAATGCCTAGATGGGCAGGTTGGTTTTGACTAAGAGCAAGGATAATACTTTCTTTGTCAGATTGATCAGGAGATGAAGAGAGGCAGGTGAAGAAGATTCAGAGAGGAACAGCACTGAAGGAGCTTGTGTTGGATGCCTTCATCCTTTTGGGAGATGAACCCATAAGATCACAACCTAAGAATGAGGCAGGGAGGGTCAAGTTGGAAATCTGCAAGTGAAAACAGATCTGAAAATCTGGGATGAGGGATTAGGAAAAATCAATGAGAGAAGAGATGCATAAAAGACTTTCCCACTAGAATTGAGGGACAGTGGAGATTAGTCTTATTTTCTCCAGCTGTTTTAAGAAGACTGGGGTAAAGATGAAAGCTGCCCTGGGATTCCAGGCATTAGGAGAACCAAGGTGAAGCAGGTGGGGAGGGTAGACATGGAAGCAACTGCATCATTGATTATGATCTCAGAATGGAGGCTGGAGAAGCTGTGTTGAGGAGCAGGGAAAGGATCAGGGGAATTGCATGGGGGCTGGTAAAATTTGATTTAGGTTCTTGGTAATGGGAAAAGGCACAATTAAAGAATGGAAAGCTGTTTCAAAGGGAAGAATCACAGCTCTTGGTTTTAGTAAATATCATCATAAAAAGCTCCAAAACAGGCCAAGCATGGTAGTTCATGCCTGTAATCCCAGCACTTTGGGAGGCTGAGGTAGGAGTAGGACAGCTTGAAGCCAGGAGTTTGAGACCAGCCTGAGCTACTTAGTGAGACCCTGTCTCTACAAAAAATGAAAAATAAATTAGCTGGGGGTACACCCCAGCTGCGTGGGAAGCTAAGATGGAGGATTCCTTGAGCCCAGGAGGTGGAGGCTGCAGTGAACCATGATCATGCCACTGCATTTCACCCTGGGCAACAGAGTGAGACCTTTTCTCAAAAAAAAAAAAATGCTCCAAATCAAACTCAGCATATACATGTCCATAAATGTCCTAGTTTCCACTCTAGCCAGGCATTCCTGGTTTTAAGTATTCACACTAAAATTCCTTGTAGGACAAATTACTCAGGTGCTGTGCTATAAGAGATTATGGTTTATCTTATCTAAAGGCAGAAACATTTAATCTTCCTTTTTTCTTTGATGGAATTATGTTATTCTTCCTTACCATCAACACCTATTCATTGATAGTTCAGTTTTCTGTCTTAATTATTTATGGATTACTAACAGGAGAACCCACTTTGTTCCAGAAATTTCATTGATATCAGGAATAACAAAACAAAACAAAACAAACACAACAATATGGAGCCGTATTCTCCAGAAGCTTACATCTGATTTAAGGAGACAGGTAAGTAGACAATTTAACTAAATACATTAAGTGCCATGAGAGTAGTATGATGCTGATAGGTGCTATACAAAACAAGTGTTCTCGGTTAACTGCTTTGAGAAAATTGCTACCTTTTAACAAGGTTAAACTGGATTCTTTAATGCAGATCTTACTGAGAGTTTCTAATATGTTAGTGTGCTTTGTGAATCTTCATGTGTGTGGAGTAGAGATCCAGTCTGCCAAGTTCTACAAACTCATCTGATGACAGAACCCTTTTTCAATGGAATATCTCAAGGGATTTGTGCTCCATGGGACATAACATGAGAAGGACTGACACAGATTTTCACCTAGTGAACAAAAAGTGTATGTATTTATAGTTTTAAAAACTGCTTGGATGGGTACTTTCTCCTAAATACGTAAATGACTTCTGAAGTTTGTTTTTTAGGCCTATGACAGAGTAAAAATGCAGACTTAAAAGGATTTACCTCAAAGATTTTAATGACTGCTGTCCTGAGCCCAGTGAAAAGGAATGCCTTTAGTCATTTTCATTTATGGACTGTTTAACAGTCTTTCTCCAAAAGAAATATTTAATGAATACAATCTCGAGGTCCTCCCAGTGCTTCTAATTAACAGACCACTGAGCAATCTTTGTTAAAGGAAAGGCTAGCTTCGGGCCAGAAGGCATTGCAGGATCTAATATGTATACTACCATGTGTGACCAAGCATGAAGAGGAATTAAGGGTGTGAATATATAAGGGCTAATGTTTGTGTCCATTGTTATGAAATTTCTGATAATCGCTCTCCACTCTCTCCTAATATTTGGCCTTTAGGAAAAGAGTTTTGGAATGCATTGTTCTCTCACCTCATTATCCTCCTTAATGTATGAAAGTCTCAAGATAACTGTTGATTACCTGCTCTCTACTTCATAAAGAGGAAACACAGATCCAGAGGACCATTTTGTGATTCATCCCTTTTCAAAGTGTTTCTTAAAACATTTAAAAAAATTTTATTATAAGCTGTTTATAATTGAATAAAAGCAGCCATTTCTTTAAGAACGCCTCATCTTATTAAAATAAAGGCTTAACTCTGACCTGATTTTTACTTTAAAGAACTTCACAGGAAAAATCAGCATATATAATTATCAATGTATTAAAGAGATATTGTCTATAAAACCTTATGAGGATCAGGACTAAGAAAAAACATTCATTCGTCTCTCTTTTCAGCTAAGTTTAACAAATGATATGTATGGGTACTATGCTAAGAACTTTATATGATGTATCACATTTGATCTTTACCATATGCTATGGATATATGGGTATACTCCTAGTATACCTGCTTTACACGTGAAATAAAAGTAAGACTCAGGAAGGTTACATAACTAGCTCAAACTATAACGCCATAAGTGCCAGAGAACCCACAGCCAAGTGTCTTACGCGTTATGCTTCGTTTTCCTCTAACCCACAGCTTTCCTTTGTCTACAGTAAAGCACCTTGAATTTTGACCCCTCCTAGGAGTCAAAGTTACTTCTAAACTAGAACACCAGAAGGTTAAAAATAAAGTCCAAATTTTTTTTTCAGAAATCCTGAGAGTTAGGGCTGGGCTCCCCTTCTCACCTGATCCCATACTTTTGATGTTAGCCAGGCAAGGGCTGGGGGCTTTTTGTACTAGGCTTAGTGTAAAAAGCATTAATTCTGGAATCAAAAAGACCTGGATCTGCTTCTCATCTCAGCCACTTAATAGCTGTGTGATTTTGAATGATGTCCTTAATTTTCTGCCTGAGCCTTTCTCATCTGTTAAATGGTGCTGTACTGCTTCCCTTCCTAGGGAGCTATGGCATCAAATGAAGTGTTGGGAGAGCGTTCAACAACAGCCTCTGTTGTGGGCAGCTGTGATATCACATGGAATCTGTCCATAAGGCTACTTTGCTAGAATGGTCTACAGGAAACTCTTAGCATTGCTTCATCTCTATAGTTTCTGCCAAAGATTAAACTACCCAGAGAGCACAGCAGAGAGTTATTAATCTAATCAGCTCTTGTCCTTAAAACAGGCTGGATAAGTGCGAATAGGAGAAAGCGAGGTAAAGCAACACCCAGAGTGGAAGGCCATCAGAAAGGAACAGGGGAGGCAGGCATCGGTAGTGAGGGAAATGAGAGGAGAGAGGCTGAAAGCCTGGACTTTTTTTTTAATTTTTGAGATGGAGTTTCACTCTTGTTGCCCAGGCTGGAGTACAATGGTGCAATCTTGGCTCACTGCAACCTTGCCTCCCAGGTACAAGCGATTCTTCCACCTCAGTCTCCCAAGTAGCTGGGATTATAGGCATGTGCCCACCATGCCCAGCTAATTTTCTATATTTTTAGTAGAGAAGGGGTTTCTCTGTGTTGGTCAGGCTGGTCTAGAACTCCCAACCTCAGGTGATCTGCCTGCCTTGGCCTCCAAAAGTGATGGGATTACAGCAAAGGCTGGACTTCCTTATAGTTCTGCACAGGCTGCTGCTCACTCAGCTCAGCTCTGGCCTCATGGGACAACTCACTGAGAGATGGAAATAATGTTCATGAAAGCAGGTACTGTCTTTGAGTTGGGCCCTAATGAATCACATCTGACTTGCTTTAGAAATGGGCCCAGAGGTCACAGAGCATAGGCAGGAAGGCTATTCTGCACAATGGCGACACGTATGCCAGGCTCTCAGTTTAGGCATTCATTTCTACTAGATCATCTGGGGGACCTAGAGCTAGTCTGACTGCATTCTAAAATGCCAAGGACACTGAAAGGAAATACTTTACTTCACTCAAAGGAGTATTGTGAGAATTAAATAACAAAAGGTACCTATACCCCAAGGCAGGCATGGGGAGCCTCTTTCTCCAGGTCTTCCCCAAGACTGGAGAGAGACCCTGACCACCCAAAGATTCCTGCCCTAAAGGGGGCAGGGTTCAGAGTTGACGAGACCGAGACCGTGATTCAAACCCCAGCTCTGCCATTTCCCACCCTTAGAAAGTCCACTCATTCATTCTTTTGTTCATTCATTGACCACATAGGTACCAAACAAAATTTATTGAACAGAATTTTACTCATGACCTACTTTTCCCCAGAGCACAGTGCTAGATGCTGTGGATACAAGATGAACAAGACCGACAAGGTCTGTGTCCCCGTGAAGGCTCTATTTTCATAGGAAAAGAGATGCACAATGAACAAGTAAACAAATGAGATCATTTCAGATTGGGATAAATGTTAAACACAAAATAAACTAGGCAAATTAATGGGGAGTTATCTGGGTATGGGGAAAGGGGTTATGAACTGGGCAGTCAGGAATGTTCCTTTCTGAGAGGAAGCACCTGACCTGGGACAGAAGCACGGGAGTCAGCTTGTCATGAGAATGACTGGGGAAGGAGGCATCCCCTGTGCAGAGCACTAGCCCTGGGTCGGGAAAAGCCTTGGGACTCAAGGAACAGAGAGAAGGCCCAGGCAACTGTGGACTGTGGGACTTGCAATCACGGCAGAATGAAGGCAGATGAAGCTAGCAAAGTGGGCAGTGATCTGACTGTGAAGGATCTTAAAAGCTAGAATATGGGATGAAGCTTTATTTTAAAGGCCATGGAATAGTTTTCCACAGGGGAGGGCCAAGATCTGATTTCTGCTTCAAAGAAATGATTCTGGCTGCTGCATCTCTCTCTCTTTCTGGAATATACAGACAACAAGGTGGAAGAGAAGAAACAGCTAGGAAGGTATCAAAGTAGTTTAAGTAGGAAATAATGGTGGCTTAGACTAGGAGAGAGAAGTGGACATGTTTGAGATAAATTTTAGAGGTGTCACTCAAGGGTTCTGTCTGGAATTTGGAAAAGAGTAACAAGGAAACAGAAAGAATCAAACTATTTAGATTTCCTGAAACTTCAGTTTCTTCACCTAAATTTGGAAGGTGTTATTGTAGTGTATTGAGGACTAAACAAGGGAGCATGTGCTGCCCAGCACAAAGTGGGTAATTGATAAACAGCCAGCTTGTCCCTTGTTCTGACCCAGGTTGAACTCTGAATCATCTAGACAAGCAAGTTCATTTCAGGACTCAGTCATTAGAAATTCCAACTATTACAAAATGTATGCTAAGCTCAATAGGCTCAAAAAAAATCTCTTAAACTGTCATCAATTTGGAATAAAGTTAATATTGAGTTGTTAATCCACCCAGAACAGCCATTATAAAGCTTCCAGACTGTAACAGCTGAGTAGTGTTTGCCTTATGCTTATTTTGGGTGCTCTGTGACTTGAAACTCCTTTCTCAGTGGCAAGAATATTTGGAGAAACATGTACTCTCTGTGGACAGAAACTACACATGAAAAACAATAGCATAGGTTTGGGTGTCATAGCTCTGGAAAACTCTTGATTTTTGAAGCTTTGACAGGGGGTTCCTGGCTTACAGGGTACACACAAGGAACTGATCTGACTCTAGCTTTCTGAGTCACTCATAATGAAAAAGCTACCTAGGGGTAGGAGGACCATTCATTCTACTCTGTTCCTGCCCAGCTGTATGGGAACATCTCCCAGCACTTCAGGATGGGGGACCTGGGCAGGGACACTATACAGACATGTCCTTGCACAGGCCTTTGGCTACCGCAAAATCTGTTGGGCTACCATGCCTGGTTTCAGTGTAGCTGAGCTGCATATGAGCCTGAAACACATGGTCTTTCTTATTGTTCTCTTCTTTTTGCTTTTATTGTGGTTAGTTATTCAGAGCAATAGTTCTCTATGTTGCACGTTACAATACTTTGGTGCACTTCATAAAATCCTGATTCCCATGCCAAGAGAATTTTTTCCCAAACCAAGAGAATCTGACCTAATCAGTACAGTAGATACTGTAATGTGCCACTCAACTGATCCTTCAGGAATGAAAAGCTTATTCTCTCAGTTGCTGAAAATGTAGCCAGTGGACAGCTCTCGGCTTGTTAGTTGTCCATGGAAAGTGCGTTGGCATTTCAAGGCAATACCCTCTTCCTAAGGTAGCCAGCATCCAATGACCAATCAATACAGGACTATAAAGACAATACTGATCAACCCAGGACAGCTCTGAAAGGCCATGCCAGTTTCAGAGCTCCCTGTAGGTCAGCTGAGGCCTTCCTTGGGAATGCACTGCCGTCCAACAGCTTCCTCTGCCTGATCCTGCTTCCTTCCCTTCCCTTCCTTCAGTGGTGATCCCAAGAGCACACCCTCATAAACTTCCTGCAAGTAAGGCTCCATCTCAGGGTCTGCTTTCTTTGGTCTGGGGTTAACACCTGGACATCAGCATTATAAAGCTCCCTGGATGATTTCTTTTCTTCTTTTTTTTTTTTTTTTTTTTTAGATTGGGTCTTGCTCTGTCACCCAGGCTAGAGTGCAAATCTCAGCTCACTGAAACCTCCACCTCCTGGGTTCAAGCAATTCTCTTGCCTCAGCCTCCCAAGTAGCTTGGACTACAGGCACATGCCACCATGCCCAGCTAATTTAAAAAATATTTTTAAGTAGAGACAGGGTTTCACCATATTGGTGTGGCTGGTCTCCAACTCCTAACCTCAGGTGATCCACCTGCCTTGGTCTCCCAACCTGCTGGGATTACAGATGTGAGCCACCATGCCTAGCCCTCTCCAGGTGATTTTAATGAGGGTAAATAACCCCTGCTCAAAAGTCAGAATGTGACAATCAGTCCATAGACAATTATTCAGCACCAAGTGCCAAGATTGCTACTAGGTTTTCGATCCCACATGGAAAATAAAAAAGAGAGAAATTAAGAAAACTGACTCTGATTGCAAAGCTAGTAAGTGGCAGAATTGGGATCTAAAACTAGAGAGACTGCTGTGTCCATTCTCCTAATCACTATGTTATGTTGTCTCCAGGATGATGGAGGGGAAGCATAGGATGCTCAGGGACCCTAACCTGGACAGGTGTGGAGAGTGGGGTCAGAGAAGGATTTTGTAAGGAATGAAGTTTAAGTTGAGATCTAAATAAGAAGAATGTAGGCAGAGGCAACAGGGCATGCAATAATCTAAGGTAGGAGAGAGCAGA